GAGAGAGAGAGAGAGAGAGAGAGAGAGAGAGATCCTGTTTCCTCAAGCCTTGTATACCTTTCTGTGCCCTGCCATCTTACTTCCTGGGATTAAAGGCATGAGTGCTTCCCAAGCAAAGACATGAGATCTCAAGTGCTGGGATTAAAGGTGTGTGCCACCATACCTGGCTCTGTTCCCAGTGTGGCCTTGAACTCACAGAGATCCAGATTGGATTAAGGGTGTGTGCCACCACTGTCTGCCCTCCGATCCCCAGATAAGTTTTATTGGGGTACACAATATATCGCCACAGATGAATAACTCACAGCAGCTGTATCACCAACTAGCCCACCCCAGCAAGGGTGATGACTCCAGAAAGCTGTATCATTGGCACCCCCTGTACAACTTGCAAGCACCTCCCTCCTCCAGAGAATCTCGTCCCCCAGACCAGTCATCTCTGTTTATGTAACCTTAAGGAGTCTTGTGAATTTTGGAGTGTTCAGGGCTTCTGAAGCCTCCTAAGTTTCTTGAGTCTTAGGAAACATCTCCTGGAGAGATGCTTTAAGTTAAAGGAGTGGTATCCAGTCCTGTGGAGATCTTCTATCTCTCTCCTCTCCCTTCCAAAGACTACCTTATGGTCCTAGTTTGCTTTCTGTCACTGTGATAAACACCATGACCAAAAGCAACTTGGGGAGGGAAGGGTTTATTTCAACTTACAGCTCATAGTTATGAAGGAAAGCCAGGGAAGGAACACAAGACAGGAACCAGGAAGTAGGAACTGAAGCAGAGGCCGTTGAAGATGCTGCTTACTGGCTTGCTTCCCAGGGCTTGCTCAGCCTGCTTTCTTGTAGCACCCAAGACCACCTGTGCAATGGGGCACCATTCACAGTGAACTGAGCCCTTCCACACAATCATTAATCAAGAAAATGCCCTACAGACTTCCCCACAGGCCAATCTGATGGAGGCATTTTCTCAATTGAAGTTCCTTCTTCCCAGATGACCCTATCTTATGTTAAGTTGACAAAAACAAAACAAACAAACAAGCCCAGCACACTTGTCTTCCTCTGCCCCTGTAGAGAATTCTGCCTTCTTCCTAAGGCCCTGCTTCCTGGACCTTTGGTCCCTTCTCATGCTCGTCCCCAGTGCTCTGGGAACCCACACTCTCAATAACTGTTTACATTCCTGACTTATCCACTCCATCAGCCAGGGCCTGCCTGCTTGTCCCAAAGTCCTATCAGGCATGAACATATGTGAAAGGCTGTTATTTCTCCTAACGATCTCTTGTTCACGCTAGAAGGAGCCCCATGCTCCAAGATCTGTGCTAGCTGCGTTCTGGGGCAGGAGTGGCCTCCCTGGTTCTGGGGTCTCAGTGGAGACCCCACTGCAGTGATAATAAAAGGCAACCTGGCAGCAGCAGGGGCTAGTGGCCACGCCCAACAGGTGGTCAGACTGTCTTTCATCCCCAGGAGGAACGCATTCCCTCTACCCCAGATCGGCTCTTCAAGATCGTGTTTGTGGGTGATTCTGCTGTGGGGAAGACATCCTTCCTGAGGAGGCTCTGTGAGGCCCGCTTCTCCCCAGGCATGGCGGCTACTGTGGGTGAGTTCTCTGCTCCAGGAGGGAATGGAGGGCTAATGGGAAGAATGCTGGCACTGGCTGGTGAGTGGTGGGCTAGCAGGAACATGGAGAAGCCCATCTCCCCTGGCACCGCTAGGCTGCTAAGCTCATGGTGTGTGCGTAGGGTTGAGAGGGGTGGGGTGAGGTGGGGTGAGTGCTTCATAGTTCCGGTTTTGTATTTGGGGAGCTGAGGTTGACAAAAGGTGGGGTTGAGGTCTTTGGTCCCCTCTGTGAGCCCCCACTTAGCTTGTGCTACTTCTGTCCCACTTTAAGGAAATAAATAAATAATACATCATATGTATGTATGTATGTATGTATGTATGTATGTATGTATGTATGTATGCAGGTAATGCATTACTCTGTGTGTGTGTGTGTGTGTGTGTGTGTATGTGTGTGTATGTGTGTGTACACATGCATATGACAATACAAGGATGTAAGTCAGAAGACAATCTAGGGGAGCTGGTTCTCTCCTTTCACTACGTGGGTCCTGGGGATCAAACTCAGGTCATCACGAGTGACAACAAGTACCTTTGCCCTCTGAGCCGTCTCCCCAGCCCTCTGCCCCCGTTCCAATCAGCGGGGCCCTGAACCTTCATGCTTTCCCAGATCTGATGAGCACTCCCTCAGAGCCAAACCCTGCTACCCCCAACCTTTCCTACGGGCCTACTCCTGCCTGCCCTGCCCTTAGGTCTGTGGGCACATGTACAGCCAGCACCCTGCAAGGCTTCTTTTATACGTTGACTTGTCCCGTATCCTGGATCTGCTGGAAGTCATCAGGAGTTAACTGTAGGAGTGTATGAGGCTCAGCTGCCATTAGATAATCATGGCTGAATGTGTTCCCACTTATGAATAATACTTTATTCAAAGAGAAGCTTTTGATTGTTTCACCCAAAGCTGCACATGGCGTTGGAGTGCGTGGCGGGATCAAGGGCATGTTAACCTTTCAGCTTCTACCCAGTTGAGTCACTCAACAAAAGATGACATGTGAATGCTTGCTGAGCTTCTTTAGCTGAACTGAAGAGCCAGCTGAACTTGACAATGGAGTCTTACGATCTGAGCATTGGCTGTGACCATGTATCCACCATTTCAACCTGTCTGCAGATTGTGATCAGCCTGATAGATTGAGACACTGAGGTCCAGAGAGATTAGGCACCACATTCCCATGATTAGTGCTGACACCCCCCACAGGACATCATCTACCCCTCTCCATAGTACCATAGCAGTGTTGTATTGTATGGGCATAGCACCCCGTGAGTGGTAGGGTCCCTTTTCTGCCTTTAGAGGTGGGCACAAGTTGGGAGCAGGAAAGCCTAGGGAGGTTCAGTGGGACATTGGAAATCCTAGGTCCTCATCCTGACTCTGCTACTGACTGGCTCTGTGACCTCAAGAGGACACAGTCCCCCCTTTGGGCTTTGATTTTTCTTATGTGACAAAGAAAGGATTTGATATGGGTTCCCCACCTGCTTCCAAGGCAAGGTCTCTGCCCAGACTACCCATGACCATTGGCTTCCAACAAACTGGTTCTGCAGGCGAACTTCCCAAGCCCCAGGGCCTTTCCTGGGGGAGATTCAGCCTATTCCTCTCATCCTGAACTGGCTCCTCCATCATCTTTCCTACCCTGGGTGTCTTCCCCATGCTTCAGTGCCCTGTGCTTCCTGGTGGGTCTTTTCTCGGGCTGTTGCATCTCATCCCTGCCTCCTGTGTTACTCCACACAAAGACCGAGGACATCCCAATACAAAGCATCAGACATGAAAGGAAGCAGGGCAGGCACTGGATGCAAACCCAGGACAGTCTGACCTAGCTATCCTTCGAGAGGAAACCAGTGTGCTAACCGTGGTACTGTAATGGCTGTAGGCACACAGGCTGGCTTTCCTGGAGGGTGCTCCAGTGTGGGCTCCGCAAGTCAGGGTTCTGTCATGGGCTCATGGTGACAGAGAAGATGCCTCTTGAGTCCCCAGGCTCATCTCTAAGCCACATGCCTCTCCTGACAGTGGAGTCAAATACACTTCCACTTCCAACCTCAGGCCTGAGATAGAAAACTCACCCATTTGTACTTCCCAGGAGGCCACCACACATTTCAGGAAACTTCCACAGTTTAGGAAGAGGGCAAACTAAAGGTCCTTTCTTGTAGCACACAAGCCCACCAGAGCAGTAGCAGGTTCTCTAGGGCAAGTTCTCTAGCCCAGTGTGCCTTGCCTTGTCCTGTGTGGGCGGGATGAGCAACCATTACACCAGCCACCAAAGTAAGTTCCTTTTAGGAAGAGTCTGTTTCCCAAGGCCACGGCAGCCCAATCCCCACGCAGAGCAGCAGATATGGCTCCACGCAGCAACAAACGCTGGGCCCTTCTTCAGGCTCTCCTGTCACTTGGAGTGACTTCCTGGTCTCCCACACTCCATGAAAACACGATGTATAGAACCCTTGCTTCTGCCCACCTTGTGGAGTCCTGCTCACTCCACTCAGGGCTTTGCCTGCTCCTTAATGAACAGTTGTTTGGACCTGTGGGGATGATAGATACCGACTAATGAGTGTTGTGGAGCCCTGGAGCTGGAAAGACCCTTGGAAATGGTCTATTCACAACCAGCCAGATTGTGAGGGGACAGAGGCCCACAGTCAGAGTGAGTGTCAGGGACCAAATCTCCCCAGCAGCCAGGACTTCAGTGGTCAGCCCGCTACTCCACATGGCTCTATAACCTCCCTGTTTCAATCACGGGCCAGAACCCAAAAGCATGCCCTGATAGAATGCTCTCTGTTCTCTCTTGACTACCAGTGAGGTCCCCACCCCATGTCCTGCAGAGAATCCCTGAAGCACTCTAGAGTCCTCCTGCAAGGCAACTTATGGACATATCTCTGCTTCCCCACCTCCCTGCATGGTAATGGCCTGGCCTGTCTTCACCAGAAAGGCTGATGTCACCTTCTGGGGACCCTTCAGCTTGGCTCTAACCCACACCACCTCCGCAGAACATTCCAGTGACCTGTGATTTCATTACTTCAGCTACCACACCCAATCAGGTTGCAAGTTGAAGGGTATCTCAATGCCATCGTGGAATGTTCCAGCAGAACTTAGAGATCATAAAACCCCAATTTAGTTCCTTCAAACCTCTATCCCCTCAGCACACAAAGAGCTGAATCTCTAAAACTAAGTTGAAATGACATCATCAAGGTCATACCGCTGGGCATTGGCAGGGCCCAGGTCTCCTGGTGCTTAGACCTTTAGACCGCTGGATGGTCCTAAACTCATTTATTCCAGGCCCTTTGGCCCCACATTATTCCACTGCCTCTTGAGCTCTTGTTCTGCTGCCATGGTGTCTGGGTGCCATCACTATCACTCCGTCCTCACCGTGTGTTGTCCTTGTGTTCTCTGTGGATTTGCTTATATGTGTCTCTAGCTGCCTGTCTGATGCTGGACAAAGAAATGCTCTTTGAATCCAGTGGGGCCTCACACCAAGCTCACCACTGCACAGAACACTTCTGTCCAGCCCTCTGTCTACCTCACTCCCTGCAAAATAAAAACCCTGTCCATCCTCTAGCAACCAACCACAAAAGCAGAGGTGGCCTGCTGGAAGCAGCCAAGACAGCCACCCCAGCACCACCCACTTGCCCTTTCCCAGTTTTCTGTCCCAGCAACAGAAAGCTCTGTTCATGGGGCTTCAGGCCCTGTGAGTGGTTTCAGATCTGGCCCTGCTGGTGCAGTATCCATGGTTAGTTGCTCAAAAGTAGTGAGAAGGCAGGAAAGAGGGCATCTCTGAAGCATAGAGTTGGGGTACCCCTCACTCTCATGCTTTTAACCAAGTAGACAACTCACCCCCAGTTCAGCAGCTAGCAGGCATCCTCTGCTTTGATGGGTACCTGCAGCCATGGGCTGCCTGGGGGAAGGAGGTTCCAGGCAGCCTGTGCTCCAGGTAAGGATGCTGGAATGGAGTAGGGAGCCTCATCCTAGCTGCCAGCCAGGGGAGGGAGGAGCCTTGATTGCAGTTTCTCATCTTCTATGGTGTGTGTGTGTGTGTGTGTGTGTGTGTGTGTGTGTGTGTGTGTGTACAGGTGTGCAAATTATAACCCTCATGGGTGTCTTGAGGATACTGAAGGATGGAGGCCTACATGAAAAGAGTGGAAATATAGTAAAAAAAAAAAACATTGTGCTCTTCTCCCCTAGATGAATCCATTCCTGTCTCTGGCCCTGTCTGTGAAGCAAAGGGCCTGGGGTGACCTTTACCACTTCTGCTTCTTCCATAACTGCCGAGTATCTCCTGCTAGTCTCTTGTTCTGCTCCTGTTCCCTGCAGGGCAAGGACTCTTGGGTCTGTGCAAGTGGAAAGGGATGCCTTTGAGTTCTGTAACCAGGAGCCATATATAATAAGGCTTAAAAACATCTTTAAGCATTTTGAACATTCTTACGATCACAGGAGAGAGAAAAGCCTATGAAAGGGGTGTTCAACCCATGACCAGAGGCCATGTGTACCCTATGATAGCTGTGAAAGTGACCCAACACCAAACTAACCTGGTGTGTGTGTGTGTGTGTGTGTGTGTGTAAAACTCAATTGTGGTTCTCAAACATGACCATTGTATAGAATAAGTTATGTCACACAAAATAAAACATAAGTATGTTTGCAAACCACAGTACATACTTCATTGTATTTAATGTGTGACCCAAGACAATTATTCATCGTTTAATGTGGCTGAGAGAAGCCAAAGGTGGGCGAACCCTAAAAGACCCTGCATTGAGATTTTTGCCTCTGAGAGCTGCACATGTCACTGACTTGCTCCTATTTCAGGTAGTCCAGCCTAGGAAGGGTCACATAACTGAAGAGATGATTATGAATGGCCTCATGATGGTTGGAGTCCTAGACCCTACTCAAGGGTGATCACTGCCTTTGTTCCATTCTTCTATCCCTTCTTTATTCCTTCTGCTACATGCCAACCCCTGCTCCTCCTCCATTCCTCTTCCTCCTCTTCAAACTCCTCCTCTACACACCTTTGGATTGTCTGATAGGAATATTAAAGTATGCTTCATCCCCTCAGGTGTTTGGATTTATTAGGGACATTTTGAAAGTAGTTTCACCAAAAGAAGAGAATGAGAGGGGTAAGCTACAGAAGAAGGAAGGCATGGAATACATGTGGTGACAGTCAGGAAGTCATCTACTCATTGCTTGTTGCTTTTGTGCATAGACCCTGACATGACCCCATCCAGTGTCCTAGAGCAGGTGCATGATGGTACAGCAAGGAGCCCGCAGCGAAAATGGGTCAGTGATGTTGTCAAGCCCCAGGGTCTGAAACAGGACCAGAACTCAAGGCTCACGCCTCCCTGTGTGTGCTCACTCCATTTTTCCACACTGTCCCACAAACACAACTCAGGGAAGGTTGCCATGGTTCCAGACAGGGAGGCATTGTCTCCTGACTTGGAACTGAGGGCGCTCATGACTAAGGTGGCTCTCACGGGCCTGTTTCATCTTCCAGGCATCGACTACCGTGTGAAGACGGTCACTGTGGACAATTCGCAGGTGGCTCTGCAGATGTGGGACACTGCTGGGCAGGAGAGGTGAGGTGCTGCATACCCGGGTCCCAGGCCAGGGCTCCCAAGGAAGGTATGCCCCTGACGCTGGCTCTCCCATGACAGGTATCGTTGCGTCGCTCAGCAGTTCTTCAGAAAGGCTGATGGAGTGGTGGTTATGTATGACCTCACAGCCAAGCAATCCTTCCTGTCCATCCGGCAGTGGCTGAGCAGTGTGGAGGTGAGCAGCCACTACCTGGAAGCTCTTGGGTTGGCCAGACTTCCCTCTGCTCCCCGACTCTCCCTTGTGGCCCTCTGTGCATTCACAACTTCATCCCAGGCTCACCTGCCCATCCTGGGCTCTTCCTGCCATTTGGCTCTGATGTCTGACCTCTCCTACCCAAATCTGCCCCTCCCTCGGCATCACTCACCTGGAGCATGCCCCTTGTCACTGCCAATCTGCATGTGTTCCATCACCAAGAACATTGAAGGACAGAATGTAAGCAGATGTAAAGGTGTCTAAGAGAGCAGCTTAATACAAATCATTTCTCAAGATTCCTGTCCCTGAAACACTTATGAATGTGAAGAGCTAAAATTTGAAATGCCATAAGTTGTCTTTTCACTGAACTAATGAAAGTGGCAGATGGCATGGGTAGATCCTATCTGAACTTTGAAATTCATGACATAATTCTTCTCCTTATCCTGTCATTATCATCATCATCATCCTTCTCTTCTCCTCTCCCTCTTCTTCCCTCCTCCCATCAACATCATCACCATCATCTTTCTTTTCTCCTTCTCCTGTCCTTCCTACCTCCTCCCCTTCCCCCCTAATCTACTTTCTTTGTTGTTGGCAGCACCATGAGAAACACTACTGATGATCTAATCCAGTTTTTTTTTTTTTAGACTTTCTGTTCTTGGAACCCTAGAATCGGGCTGAGATTTCCTAGAACGTGGGGCAGGGCAGGGAAAGGTTTAGTGGCCACAGTTCAGGGCCCTACACTGTCATTTCTCCAGTGGTCACAATTCAGGTCCCTACATTCTCCTTTCTCCGTACGATCTGCTCAACTTTTGGCCAGCTTTGTACTTTGGAGGTCTACATACAATGCTGTTAGAGCAGAACTTCCATTTGAAAATAGTCAGTCTAGTACAATCTGGTATAATCCATCACATCTCAAAGTGAAGAAGCTGAGCCTATAACTTCTCCAAATCCATTCATTCTTTCCCCAGCCTCGGACATCCACGCACACATCCACGTTGGGATCTGAGCTGGGAAGTCCTGATGTCTGGTAATTGATGGCAGTGATGGAGGCAAACACGGAACTGTGTTCCCTGCTCTCAGGGGGGTGTCACTAGTCTGTAGGGCTCCCAGAGAATTTGGGATCTCACTAGAGAGGCAGAGATCAGGCTGAATCTGGTGAGCAGGAAGAGAGCTCAGAAGATACCATTGCAGATGAGTATGAGCTTGGCTCTCCACACATCTGTGTGCTGAGCACTGTGTGCCTCTCCCTGGGGGAACGGGGTCATCAGCCCTGTGAGCAGGTGCTTAGGCAGGCACCTCACCTCACAGGAGCCTTGACACCATGGGCTTAGACACCAGGCTGAGCTGGTAAATTGTACATTGCTAACTTGGGATCTTCTAAGTGTGGGTAATTTGTAGTTTGAATCTTGTCTTTTAAAACAAGTTTGACAGAAGGCGCTGATGAACTCGAGAGGAACTCTAATGTGACACACAGGCCTGAGCATCGCGCTCACCTGAACGACACTGAAGGCAGGGCCTTCCTATCAACGGACCAGCCCAGGGCCTGGAAATGACAAAACAAAAAACAAAACAATCAACAAAACAAAACCCAGCTGTCCAGATAGTTTGGATTTTCAGCCTCCATAGTTCCTACCATGAATAAGTACTTCTCAAACTCCTCCATACCTGGGAGCCTCCTGGGGGGTCTCGTTAAAAGGCAGACCCAGTCACAGGTACAAGCATATGAGATTTCAAATTTCTAACAGCTTTTCAGGGAGGCCAGTGCTCTACCCCACTCTCAGAACAGCAAGGCTCTGAGCCATTTTCAAAGCATCTCTGACCCCTGGCCAAGACCTTTCTAAACACGGGTCATATGACCAGCACTCACCGGACCTGAGAGGCTAGACCAGGAAAGGCATCCAGTTCCATGGCTCAGGGTTCAGGAGCCAGTGTAGGAGGCTGTGCCAAATGCTTGACTGTGTGTTGAAGGTGTGGAAAAGGAGCATCATAGACGCAATTATTCCCCCCATTCTTGAAAAGCTAAGTCATTCTGCCTTGGCAACCAGCAATCAGAGGTGTCAGGTGATAGATTAAAACTTGACACCTAATTTGATCTGAGGGGAACTGAAAATAATAAGTACTTTATATTTGTGGAGAACCTTAGTTTTTCAAAGAGCTCAGAGCACTTTGCCAACTCCCTCGCCTGGAGAAGGAGAGGGGGAGCTTTAATAACAGTCTTCAGGACTTGGAGCCTTGTTATTAACTGAATGGTGGCCAGCTGTTCCCAGTGCCCCCACCCCCACCTGAAGTCTGGGAAATGAGGCCTTCAACTGCTGTGTTTGCCATGAATGGGAAAGATGTGGTCTTGGAAGAGGTTGTGTGGGGAGCGGACAGGTGCTCAGGGCAGGAAGTGCAGCTCCCTGGAAAGGCACTTCTCACCCTCACAGCTCAGCCACTTCCTGGCCCTGACTCTTAGGCCAACCATTCACTGAGGGCCAGGACCCTGTATTCCTGTCCCCACCCAGGTTCTACAGTGCGGGGCATTGAACTCCTGGGAGTAGGGGTGGGGGATGACAGAGCAAGAGTGTTCGTGAGAGGACCTGACGGTCCTGCTTGAAGGATGTTCGAGACCTGTCATCTGAGAGAACACCTGGAGAGTTACTCTGGCTCTTACATTGCAGGAAAAATATCCTGAGGAATTGTATGTGAAGAGAAGCTCACTCGGCCCACAGTTTGGTAGGACCGAGGGCATGGTGCCCGCACTGGCTTAGCTCTGGCTAAGGATCCTCTTCGTTATATTGCATCATGGTGGATCTCACCATGGTGGAAGGCAGTGGGGAGACAAAGAAGAGAAGTGGAGGGGCCAGACTTGCTCTCTTTATGACAACTCCCTTATAAGAACTAACCAGGGTCAGGCGGTGGTGGTGCACGCCTTTAATCCAGCACTCAGAAGGCAGAGGCAGACAGATCTCTATGAGTTCGAGGCCAGCCTGGTCTACAGAGAGAATCTCAGGACAGTCAAGGCTACACAGAGAAATCCTGTCTTGGAAAACAAAACAAAAAGAACTAACCAGAGATTCCCAAGGATTACCTCACTGTCTTCCAAGGGTGCGTGCCTCATGACCTAATCCGATCTGCTAGGCCCCATTTCTCCTTCATCACACCGAGAGCAGAGACAGTCCTTGGGGATCAGTCTCACTGAACAGAAGTGTCCTGTGTGAGGAGGCAGGTCTGCCTTCACAGTGCCTTTCCTGCACCCCCCACCCCCAGCTCTCCCCATACCAGCCAGCTCCACGTTGCCTGCAAGCCATGTTCAGAAGAGGCTTGGGCTTGGCCCAGTCACAGTCTGTGATGACTCAACTGTGAGCCATAAGTCCTTCCTGCCAGCTCTGCATCCCCAGCCCACTCACCTTCCCATCACCACTAGGAGAATGGAGCTGACCATTCCAGCCTGGAGAAGAAAGCAGTGGGGCATGAGCATACCGTTAAGACCAGGCACAGACTAGATAGCTGAAGATCCCTGGGACCTGCATCAGGCAGGCAGAGATCAGACCTGCGTCCAGCAGTGCAGGCTGGCATGTTCCCCAAGCCCAGGCTGTACAGTCTCCAACGTCTGTTCTGCTTACTGAACTTCATGCTCAATATTTGTTTTCTTAATCATCCAGGTAGCACCATACTGTAAGGCCTATACATTAAGGAAGTAGAAAATGGATGGAAAAGTGAATCCATGTAGAGCAGCATCTCCGAGCTAAGCAAGCAGCAGCAACAACACACACAGACACACACGCACGCACGCACGCACGCACGCACGCACGCACGCATGTGTGTGCACACATATACACCTCGCTTTGGAGAACAGAGGGAGGAAGCAGCTTGTCCAAAGGCCCCCACGGCTTGTGAGGTGCAGCCAGAACCAGGACCACAGCTCTGTCACCGTATTGTGCTCCCTTCTTCATGTGGCCCGTCCTAAAATCTGCTGAAACATAGGTGCATTTGTCTCTTTTCCAGGCTTCTTGTTCCAGTCTCAAAGCCAACGATCCTTCATCTTCAGAGGTTCTGGCCCACTTCCCTCTCCCTTCCTGGTTGCAAGTGAAATCTCAGCCTGTGATCTTTGTCCTTGGTGACAATGTACAGCAGGGAGCAAAAATAGCAGTTTGATTTTTCCCCCCACATTCCAAGTTGAACTTGAAGTGCTGGCAGTTTAAAACGAACTATACAAATAAATCTTGTTTTGACTCATAGTCCAGGGGGTGGATAAATATGGAAACCCTCAAGATATAATTTTGCAGTCATTTTTTTTCTTAGTATAACGGCATGCTTTAATGTGCTGAGAAAAAAAATTTTCTGGCTCTAGCGAAATAGCAGCATTCTCCCAGCTAAGTGCTTTTTCATGCCTCTAGCAAACAGATATTCACACATACACTTACGAGCATGCGCACACCTGCGCACATGCGGGTACACACACACACACACACACACACACACACACACACACACACACACACACACACACGCTCAACCCAGCAGCTGCACACCCAGGGCTGAGTGACAGTCCTCTGCTCCTAGTTGACAGCTCTTGTTCTGTAAAGTTAGAGATGGATGATCTTAAATTTCAACAGATCTGTCTTCCATCACACTCAAATACAGAGAAAGGCAGCTATGGCAATCAACAGTGTAGAGAGATTTTTCTGTTAGAACATTCTAGAACAGATACTTTTTCTAGAAGCCTAGATCAGAGACTAGTGACTCGGAGCACAGGAAATACTAGAGGACTCATCCAGAGGGAGGATGTCAGCGCTCAGTCTCCTAAGGACAGATTGTGTGCCTGGCCAATGGGCTAAGAGCTATGGGACTGGCCTGTGGTGCATGTTCTGGGATTCTAGAGCATTATTAGCAACAGAGGGTAAGGTAGAGCTGTTCTCCAAAGTCTCCCAGGCTTAGTAGAAGTGCACTTTGCACTTTCAAAAGGAGATGTCGGGCTGGAGGCATAGCTCAGTGGTAGAGTGCCAGTCTTGCATGGGAAAGGCCCTGCATTCAATTTCCAGCACCAAAATAATGATAATGAGAAATGGTGATAATTAAAATAATGATAAATTTAATAGGTATGACATCTAATAGGTAATTAAGTGTCTCTTTGTACCAAGTACTACCAGACAGGCTGAAAACCTAGTTAGAAATAAGGAAGGCATAAACTTTAGGCAGATAGTTCAGGATTCAGGGAGGACCCCAAGGCAGACATCCAAGCCAAGCCTCCCTATCACTCTACAAGTGATGGGCTGGGGTCATGAGGACTGCTACTTGTTACAGTTAGCATACCTTCTGGCCTTGTGTGATCTCATTTATTTTGGAGCTGGGCCTTGTTCTCTGTTTTCAAGGAAGCCCACAGGGGGAAGCGAGTTGTCCAGAGTATTTGCAAAATGGACGAGCGAGCAAAAGCCCGGAATTGGATGCAGCTGGGAGCTTGGCTTATTTTTCTGTTCTTTCTAAATTCTCCCCTTTCTCTGTCTAGGAATAGCTCTCAAAGAAGTTTGTCCTTCTCCCTGAGAGCATGGTGTTGTTTGCTCTGCAGAAGTTACATATCAGGCATGAGACTCAGGCCCCCCCCATCCTAGTCAGACATTCAGTGTCCTTCATTCCCTTTGCAGGAAGTTGCAGCCATGACCTGCTCCACCTACTAATAGAACCTGGGCTGCAGTTCTACGCCAAGATTTTAGGGCTGATGCTCATATTTTCAGAGTTTCCATGTCAAGAAATCCCACAAACCTTAGTCATTCCTCACACATAAGTCTACAAATATATCTTTCTCATGTGCTCTAAACAGCAAGTCTTTTGGCCCAGTTCCCCAAATCCTCCTCTTTCCTTTTATGTGAAAAACTCTTTGCATAAGTATTCTGTTGTCTGCACAGTCACAGGATGGATTGGGACATTCCCATTAACTAACACTTGGCTAATAGGGAGCCACAGAAGTCTATATATGCTATTAGCTGGTTTTTTCACTTTAGAATAATTGAAGGGTGGTACAATTTGCTTTTCAACTACCCATGTGATTTAATTTCCTTTAGTGGGTCAGGAGACAGGAGACATCACTGTGAACATAAATTACTCTCTTCCCAGTGGGTGCCATTTTTAGAGCATTCTATTTAGTAACATACTGAGCCAGCAGCATGTTCCCTCGAAATATGAATCTAGACAAAAAGTTCAGAAAATGATGGGCCCATTACTAAGTGGCCTTCATGGCTCTCGTCTTGTGGCTGAAGGTGCCTCTGTGGTCCTCTGAGACTGTTTAGCAAATGAGAATGACTTCCTCCCACTGAACTGCAGTAAGAAATGAATGTGCAGATTAAGGAGACATGGAGGATTTTATTTCTGAGGTAACTGCATTTAAACTCTAGAACAGGCACTCTGGTCAGACGCACTTCAGCCATCTGCGTAAGATGCCGAGGTAAAGCGGTGAGACTTGGCGAAGCCATAACTCAGGCTTATAAGTGTCTGTTATCCCACAGCTCCTCTACTTAGCAAAACATCTATTTGTTACCAAATTATGATTAAAAGCCCCTAATTAAGTATTTCACAAAGTAAAAACAACAACCTTCTTAGATGTGAACATTACTCTATTTACTTACCATATGACTGTGTGCCCATTGTTCTGCCTCTGGGGTCATACACGGTAGCACCCCCTTTTGCAGATAAGGCAGAGCCCCCAGGATGTGGTTGATCTGCCACAGCCACTACAAGAACAAACACGGTTGTCACCTTGCATGAAGTCATCACTTCTGGACAGAGAAGTGCAGCTGCCATGGCACATGGATCTTCCTTAAGCTGGGCCTTCTTAGGAGTCAAAGCTCCAGTAGTGTGAGTCCTTAGTATCTTCCTCCAGTGAGGCTGACAGCAGCCATTATGGAGCTGACGATGTCTCAGATTTGCCTGTCCCCTCAGGAAGTTCATGTGTCACAGAGGCTCAAGATGCCACCTCTCCTCAAAGCAACCACAGACCAGCTCCATGCTACACTGACTAATGCCTAGGTTTGTTCTGCTCTGTTAGATTGGGTCTGGTCACTTAGCAAAGCTCTCAGTGGTACTGAAAGTCATAGAAAGAACGCACCTTCCCTTAGTGTCCATGCCCCAACCCCCATCCTGCTACCTCCTCCTCAGCACCAGTGGGAAATCAATGTGTTCTATGCTGGAGCCAAAGAGGGTGGTGAAAAGAGAGAGATCACTGCATGGATGGGGAGTGGGGGAGGGGAGAAACAGACAGGTCCCAGCACTGTGCAGAAGCATGGTGAACAGAGACCTTCAGAGGACGTGAGTCTCAGTCTCCATTGCTGGGCTCTCATGGGAACCTGGAGCTTTCCAGGCAGCCCTGTGAGCCTGCTGTCGGCATCATCCAGGGAGGCTTCTCTCAGTGGAGGGATGATCTGTTCTGCAGGAAGCTGTGGGAGACCAAATTCCTGTTCTGCTGCTGGGCAATAAACTTGACAATGAGAAGGAGCGGGAAGTCCCCCGAAGCCTGGGAGAGCAACTTGCCAAGGTAAAAAGCCCACATTTTTCTCTTTCTGGCCAGACAACCCCCCACCCCCACCCCAGTTTTCAGGAATAAGCTCACGAGCCTTGGTGGGAACTTCTGGAAGCCCCGTTGAAGGGAAGAAATTGAACAACTGGGTATCTTATCATCTAGGGGAATGACTCGAGTCCTAAACATGTACAACTACAAAGAGGTGAGGTCATAAGACAGAGCTGTTTAGGGAACACCAGGTAGGAGATTTGTCCTAAACCCTTTTATGTGGAACTGAAATTACAAGTTCTAAGAGAGTGGGAGACTATTCCTTCTAATCTTGCTGGGATACTGGAATCCCACCATCTGCATCTCCACCTTGAGGATGAGAACCTCACCGTCCCCCAGGCAGCAGTGTGGACCACTTTAATGCAGAATGTTTTTGACATAAGAAAAAGCTGAAATCTGAAGAAAAACGCAGGCGAGGTGCTGGAAAGTATCTAAATAAGCATCAGCCTTTGGGATAAGTAGGGACAGTGGAAAGTGGGGGTGCAGAAGGGCTCCCCCAGTGCTCCTTTCTTGCCTCTGGGTTCATGGAACTGTGTACCTGGGAGGAAGGATGCCCAGTGCCCAGTGATTCATGATTCTTGAACTGCTTACTCAAAACAGGACTTAATCTCAGGGCCTGAGATGAGAACAGATAGAATCAAGGGAGAGGATGAGGCAGGCTCTGACGGATGTCTGAGCAGGGTCGCTGAGCATGTCCACAGTTCTGAAATCCAGATGCTTTGATGATAGGAGGGTTTTTTGTTTGTTTGTTTTGATTTTGTATTCCATCTAGAAGGAATTCTGACTAGAACTGCCATGAGGCTATTTATGGACTTTATCTCACTTCTAGTGAATATCCAAATGTCTCATTGAAGAAATATTCATATATTTGATTACAGAGTGCTGTCCTAGACCTACTGAGGGTATTATGTAATATGTAGTATATACTTATTACCTTTCTGAAATTAGAAACTTTGGATTTCCAAATGGATCTAGATAAAAATACTTCAGCTGAAGAATACAGACCTGAATTATTATTATTATTATTATTATCCCATTTTCTTTTATGTTCTCTCTCTTTCATTTTTGAGTCTGTTTTTGTATTGAGACAAAGTTTCATGCATCCCAGGCTGACCTTGAACTCTGGTCTTTCTGCTTCTACCTTCAAGTGCTGGGATTACAGATGTGTGCCAGCCTACTCCATTTATGCAGTGCTGGGGCTCACACTCAGGGCTTCATACAGACTAGGCCAGGACTCTACCAAGTGAGCTGGACCCCCTAATCCACATATTTTTCAAATTTTTAATTAGTAAAAAGTAAATAAACATGGAGACAGGAGCTGAATGATTCATTCCAAGTGTGGCAGTGATAGATAGGGCAAGCAGCTGCAGCTGGAAGGTACATCGTGTGTTCCAGGTCCAAGTTCTGGGCCTGTTTACACCTCCATCCTTAAAGTGGCTTCTCCTAAAGCCTTCTCCAAAGTCAGTATTGGACAGAAAGTGGACAGGAAGATATAAAGCATGTAGGGCACAAGGCCTAGACTGGAGGTGGGTCTCTGGGTGTGGATGAAGAGAGCTGAGTTCAAAGCCTCCTGAGCTAGTCTTCAGAATGTCTCAGTCACCTGGCCCCAGTCACCACAGACACCAACCTCCAAAGGCAGATCATCCAAACCAGAGCTCCGTTCCATTAGCGCTGTTGTTATAAAGTAAGCAACCTCTTAATGGAAGTGACCAATGGACCATAGAACTTAGGTTCACAGCCTGGGCAGCCAGAGCCCCATGACATCTGTCCAAGGTCCACAGAAGAGCAATATCCTATAACAGCAGCTTTAGGGGAGCTCTTCTGTTCATCAGATGCCTGACTTGAACAGACCTGCCACATTGCCTCTCTAGACTCAGTTTCCCTGCCTTGAAAATGGTAACTAAGCGTTATCTACCCTGGTCTTTCTACCTGCTTCAAAGACTGACGTGAACCTGAAGCAAGCAATCACACCGTTGACCGAGCTCCAAGAAAGCACAGGCCCACACCAGGTGGTTGTCATAGCGTTGTTATATCTGCCGATAGCTCCATATAGAACCAGCATCCATTGAAACCAACCGGGTCAGGGGAGGAGCCAAGGCTAGGTAGACAGAGGGCTCTCTTCTCGGCTTCCTCTGGTCCCCACAGTTCCAGTTCCATCCGCATGCCCTCTCTGCTCTGTGATTTCAGGAGAACAATTTGATCTTCTATGAATGCAGCGCCTATTCGGGTCATAACACCAAAGAGTCCCTGCTCCACCTGGCCAGGTAGGAAGGGCACCCAGCGAGTGAAACATACCGCTAAGCCCAGCTGCAGTCAACCCGGCTGATGCCCATCTGCCCTCCCCGTTCAGGCCACACCTGAGCCTCTTTTCCTGTCTTTCTGAGCCCCTAAGTGCAGGCACAACTGGTACTCTATGGGGGAGCTTTGGGAGTCAAAGCTTCTGAAACAGCAGTGAAGGGAAGGATAGCACCCCCGCCTGTCCCTCTACTGCAGTCCCCGACAGTCTCCGAGGCTGCCATCTGCCCAGAAAATGCACCTGCAAACTGCCCCATCAGAAGTCCCCCCTTAGCACTGGCTGACACTGCAATGGGATTGGTGGGGGAGGGGAGGTCAGCTTGGGAACAAGTGGAGCCTACAATATGGGCTCTTGGGTTGCAGAGTGAGGAACCAGAGAGAGCTGGGGCTGTGTAAAGGGGAAGTCAGCAGGACACCCTCGGAAAGGCAGGGACAGTGCTGAAAGGACCGGCCACATAGAAAGACTCGTTCTCCAAGAGCCTGTCTGCGTGAAAAACTAGGAAAATCAAACCACACCAGGGACCTTTTCAACACCCGAGCTTCTGTGCATCCCTCCAGCCAGCAAGTACTGTACGCTGTCCATGTTACACTCAGCACTCATACTGGGGCCTCTGAATAGCTGACTTTGAGTAATCAAGACTCAGGAACAAGTCTTCTATGTATTAGAGAGGCTATGTTAGGGCATATACCAAGGGGGGAAAGTTCTAGACCTTTCTCTGCCATTGACTCACTGACTACATTGGGAATATAAGACAATCAGTCACACCTTCCCTGCCTGCTAACAGGTTGTGAAAATCAAAGGAGACAGAGGAGGCGAGAGGGCCTGGAAAGCACAGAGGAGGCTCTTGCCTGTTATTTTCACCTCTCACCTCCTGTGCTTAACCTGGAGTCGTGGCCACAGGCTCCATCCTGCAGAGCTGACAGCCAGGAATGAACAGATACATGTTTATTACTGTGGCAGCTGTGGAGTCACCAAGATAAAGACACAATTTGGTCCTTAAGCAAATGCATGTGACCCTGAGCAATGGAGTCACATGGAGAGGGATTAGCGCGCTGTCAGGGACAGAGGTTCACCAAGATGGTCAAGGGTGGCTTCCCTGGGGAGGTGTCACGAAGGTCTCTGTCCTCACAACTATAGTTATACATCTGTGTTGTCAGGGAAGACTTTAAACACTGGTGCTCAGGGGAGGGCTGCTGGTCCCCGGGGCCAGCCACCAGCCTGGTGACACCGTCTCTTCTTCTCCTCTGACCCCCCACTGCCCAGGTTACTCAAAGAGCAAGAGGACACAGTGAGGAAGGACACCATCCAGGTTGGCCCCCCTGTCAAGAAGAAATCCTGCTGTGGCTGACAGCAGGCCCTCCTAACCCAGCCGTGCCCACGGTCACCTGCAGCCAGCAGTCCTCCGAAGGCCACGGTCACGTGGCTACCTGAAGCAGCACTTGGGCTCCTATGTGCAACACCTGGCAAGGCCCACCCTGCCTTGTCCTTGTTGGTGACTGGCCTCCTCTAATGAAGGGAGCACCCGCAGCCAGAAGGCTGCTTTTCCTCTACTTCATATCTGCTCCCCCTTCTCTTCTGTACCCCAATACCTTCTCCTTCCCCCTCCAAAGTGTTTTCTGGTAGAAAGGAGCAGATGGGCTTTTCCAGAAAAGTGACCACGTGCCTTCTCCACCTCCCTTCTCCTCTCTCCATGGCCTTAGGAGTCTCTGCGCTGTGGTTGCCATGGCAACTGTGCAGGGACAACTTGATGCTTCTTGAAGGCCAAAGACGTGCCATTTGGGTGATGCTGGGCTAGCCTGTCTTGCTTTGGGCCCTGTTCTCCAGAAACCAGAGAGCTGCTCTTGGCACGCACGTCATGGACCTTGAGACGCTCAAGTGTCGGCTCCAGTTCCCGAGGCTCTCTCTGCTTCTCCCTGAGTTCCTGAACCACGGGCTTCGCAACCTCTCCCAGCAGCCACTGCACCCACTGGATCTGTGCTTGTGGGTCTCTGCCGTGTGCTTCCTGACGAACCTCAACCCTGACTCCAGGGTGGATGGCGGGGGACAGTTCCACGCCTGGAGTCACAAAGCAGGTGTACTCCCTACATAACTTTGACAAAGAAACCGAAAGAGGAAGCCATCTGTGGCTAAAGACAGTGGCCATTTTTGGGGGGACTAAATAAGATATGTGTCACTGTATAAAAGGTGTTTTCTAGCCGGGCGTTGGTGGCGCACGCCTTTAATCCCAGCACTCGGGAAGCAGAGCCAGGCGGATCTCTGTGAGTTCGAGGCCAGCCTGGGCTACCAAGTGAGCTCCAGGAAAGGCGCAAAGCTACACAGAGAAACCCTGTCTCAAAAAAGAAAAAAAAAAAAAAAAAAAAGGTGTTTTCTGAGGGTTTCTCCAAAGACCTCTTTGGAAAATCACATTTATTTATTGACAGGGTAGATTGACAGGCAGCTGTGGTGGTGGTGGGGACCCAACACTAGGGCCATAATTACTGGCTTCATTTTGTTTCATTTTCCTTTATTCCAGGAGGTTATACTCTTTTTTAAAATGTAGCTGTGATGTTGACATTTTGCTGGTACTTGTGAAGTGAGCTGCCAGTAGCTGCCAGCTTCAGCAGAGGGCACTTGGCTTCAGGGAACGGCCTGAACCCTGCTTCTGGTCAGCGTTGACTGTCTGGGTGCTAGAAAGTACATCCTTGCCCTGGACAGAAGGTAGGATAGAAAGATCACAAAGGTCTTTTTTTTTTTTTTTTTAACCAGTGATTGACATTCCAAGTCTACAGCCGAGCCGGGCACCAGCTCCAGGGAAAATGGATGGCCCAACAAGTCAAGTGAGACTCACTAAGAGGACAGAATATTAGGGACAAACCCACACAGCCAAATAAACAGGGAGAAACAGTGAACTAGAGTTCCTAGACATGTTTTGCAACCTCTTCCCCAGACCACCCAAAGAATGAGAGCCCCCAAAGCTCTCAGGCATGTGTCCACCTGCTCTGGGCAGGCTTTCTTCTTTTGCTGATCTAGCATTTGCAGGGACCAAAAAGCCTGTGGAGGATACTTAACAGAATCCACCCCCGAGTGCTGTGAGGAGGTCCATGATCTCAGCAGGCCAGCTCCCACTCCAGACCCCTACCCCATCAGTTAAGGAAAAGATGGGTTATTCAATGCTTGGCAGCTTTCTGCTCGGATACATAGGATGCCTTGTGATAACTCTGATGACATAGTCATTTTCCTTCATAGGCTGGCCCCAGACCTCAGTCTCAGATTGGAGACAACTCCTAAGAAACTCCTTTCCCTAACAGAAGGGCGTTGGTGGTGGTTACATGTGTGGGTTGGAGCATGCAGAGGGACATGGGAGCCAGTTAGAGGCGGTGCTCACTCTGTGTGTGTGTGGGGGGGGGGCAGGTACAAGGTAGGATTGCCATGGGGAGGGTGGCCAGCTCCTTCCTTTCTTACCAGAGATGGAACTGGAATTCATAGAGCAAATGGGCTATACCAGGGATCCTCTGGGTCCCCAGATGACTTAATGCCCAGCACTGTGTCCCTACTAGGGCTATCCTGTCCTTTTCATAAACAAAGAGCCTTGAAGAGTTTGGAGGACAGAAGGAGAACACCGGTGCCAAGCCTTTGGGCATGTGGCAAGTTCCATCATTCTTTAGAGGTCCAGGAGTAGATAGGAATGGGGCAGGGAGGCCTAGATTGCCTCCTTTTTAGCCCCACTATAAAGGAAAGAGAAGAACATGGGCTTCGGTGGGGCTCTGAGAAGTCCCTTGTCCCCAGCTCTCCGCTTCTCCTCCTCCCATTCTTTTTAAGATACTGTGCGGATCTGAGCCACCCTCAGGAGCTGTCACCCTGGCCTAGAGGCTGGCAGAGTGTTCAGAAGAGCCTTCTGGCTCCATTCCATTTGTGCCCCTGCTGATTAACCAGTTTTCTTGCTCATCTATCAGAGACTGAAAGTTTCGATGTCTTCCTCACATGGAGCTCAAGAGTTACAGAGGCCGTGGTCATGAAGGACTCAGTACTGTCCCCAGTACTTCACAGGTGTTGGCTACCAGGGCTTGTTTTCATTGGGAACACAGAGTCACTGCCCAGCCCACTTTCTAGACATCTGTCCTGAATGGACACACTGACCAACACCACTTCCTTTGAGCATCTCTCTTCCCAGCTCATTGACTGGGTTCCGGGTCAGAGCTGACTTCGCTCTTGACCTTAACATCATTTGTTCCCATGGACTCTCAGGATTCCTAAATTTCCTGCGTGGGCCTGTATCCCATCAGTGGCCCTTGCTGATTCCAGGCCCCAGGCTGTGTCTTGCCCTCCCTGTCACTCATCAGGAACTGGGGAAGCAGCTGAGACCAGGGGCCAGTGCATGGCTATTTACCTATGAGTAACCTTGGCTCGTGATGGCCCCACAGCTCCCGCACCTTCTCACCCTTCGCTGACTCATGGTGATTTGTGTCTGCTGACACTCACAACCTTAGATTGCCAAGTCAGGAAGTCCAGTACCACACTGATGTTCCAAGTACTTCGTTCCTGCTTAGGGGTTGATTCTTTCAGACTCCTTGGGGTATTTCATGTTCCCCTGTGAACATACAGTCTCTCCCTTCACACCTTTTGGAATCTCCCTGTTCCATTCTTCACCTAATTCTGGATTCCCCACTCTCCTCAGAAGCTCACCGCAGCCAGACCTCTGTATGAACTTTGCCAAATGGCCCTACTCTGTGTCCGCAGTGAGTAGTGCTCCAAAGGGTCTTAGTCTAGTCTCGACTAAGGTGCTAACAAGTGGGGGCCCAGGGCTCCCACTGTGCTTTAACAGAGAACTCTAAGAAAGCTAGTGCTTCAGGTCAAAGGAATGAGTCTCTGGTGGGGGTGTCTTTAAGCCCTTATAGTTTGTAGGGGTCAAATATTTGAGACCATGCTGCCTTTCTCTCTGCCCTTCTCAGAGATCTCTTTGCTTCATGCACTGGGGGTTCCACTGATGGGTTCAAATATATTCAAACTATGACATCTTCAATCTCCAGTAGCACCGTTTGTGTTCAGTACGAACGTTTGTTGTAGAGTCAATTTTGTGGTCCCTCTTTTATTTTCTGTTTACATGGTATATTTTTTCACCTTCCAACCTGTGTATCTTTAAAGTGAGTCTCTTATAAACACAATATAGTTGGCTCATTTTTTAAAAAAAAAATCCATTTCTAGTATCTTTTAATTGGAAATTTTAGTTTGTTTACATTTAATCTGATTGATAAGAAAAGATTATGTCTGCCACATTGCTATTTCCTTCCTATATATAATATATATTTTAGTCCTTTGTTTTTCCATCACCACCACCTTTTCTATTAAATAGATATTATCTGGTTCATCAATAATTATCTTACCTGCTTTATTTTAAAAATATATCTTCTTGGTACTTGCAATGAGGGTTACCATGAACATTTCAATTTATAACAGTATATTTGAATCAATAACAACTTAATTTTTTTTATTTAGGGCTTTACTTTTTATTTCACCTGACTGTTAACTGACTTAAGATGCATGAATGAACAACAAAAAAAACTTAATTATTTGTTTTTTAATGCTGAACTTATTCTGAATACGAAGTAAATCCTAGTATGTGATTTTTACAAGATGTATCCTTGAGATGTTGCAAATATCAGAAAATTATGAATCCCCACCTTGGGTATTAGTTGAATAACAACCTAATTTTAATAAGACACAAAATTCTGATTCTGTGTAGTTCTGTTCTCCTCTCCTTTTTTTTTTTTTTTTTTTTTTTAGTTTTTT